CGGGCTCGACTCCACGGGAGGAGCGAGGGTTGGGGGCCCTCAGAGGGGAGAAACCGGGCGGGGTCCAGCGGGAGCCAGCCCCCGGTGGGGCCCAGAGGCCTCGGGGCAGTCAGGGTAAGACGCTGCAAAGGCAGGGGCCCAGGACAGGGGTCTGTGTCCCAGACCGTGACACAGGCGCTGAGACACAGAACGAGACAGGGAAGCGCTCAGGTCTCCTAAGGCTGACATGGCAAGGGAGTTAGTGCGGGCAAGAAAGAACGGAAGTCCACGAAGTGAGGAGCTGGCGACTGCAGACAGCCCGCGCAGGTTTAGCCGAGAAGAGCAGCTGCTGGAGGAGGAGGGGTTGTCTTTCGCGAGGGTAGCGGGCTTGTGTGCTGAAGGCGGAGGCGGGCGTGCTGGGCCGCAGGCCTAGGCCCAGGGGTGCGCCTGGGGCGGAGAGGGCCCGGCAGCACTCACATGCGACTCGACTGCGCCGGTGGCGTCCTTGACTTTGCCGAAGAACACCTCCATCTGGTACATGCTCCAGCGCCGCCGCAGCTCCTCCTCCTTGGCGTGCTGGCCGTCCTGGGTCGAGTCATCCGACTGCAGCATCAGGTGCTCGCGCTGGGTCTGCTTGCGGGGTGAGGCCAGGGCCAGGGTCAGCTCGCGGCCGAGGTTCGGCGCGAGGGCAAGGAAGGGGTGGCGTATCCAGACCGGGGCCTGGAAGGGGACAGGGCTCAGACAGGGTGGGCGTGAAAGGCAAAGGCGTGGGGCCAGGCAGGGGTGTCCAGGCAGGGTCAGAGCCATGCAAGGGGTGGAGCCGAAGGGGCGGGGCCTCAGGCAGGGGGCGGGCTACAGGCCAGGTCGGACTTCGGACAGCGCGTCTAGTCGGTGGGGAAGGATGGGCAGGGGTCAGCCAGTAAGGAGAGGGGTGAGGACAGGTCAGAGCCAAAATGGGAAAGTCGGGTGGGACAGGAGAGGGCGGTTAGGGGGTAGGAAGGAATCCTTGATCTAGTGAGGGCGGAGCCAGGGAAAGGGCGTGGCCAAGGATGTGGGAAGAATCCCAGGTCCGTGGAGGGGCAGCAGGGAAGGGGCGGGGCCAGGGGTGTGGGCGGAGTCCTTGAGCTAGGGAGATGGTGGAGTCCCAGGGGGGGCGGAGCCAGGGAGTGAGAAATGTCCGTAACCCAATGGAGGCGCGGAGTCAGGGAAGGGGCGCGGTCAGGGATATGGGAGGAGTCCTGGGTGATCCAGTGGAGGTGGAGTCAGGGAAGGGGCGGGGACGTGGGAGGAGTCCGCGATCCCGCGGAGGTGGAGTCAGAGGGGGCGGAGTCAGAGATGCGGGAGCTGTCCTTAATATAGTGGGGACGTGGAGCCAGGGGTAGGGCCAGTCAGGGATGTGGGCGGAGCCGTTGTCCAGTAGGGGTGGGGCCAGGGAAGGGAAAGGGTCAGAGTCGTGGGAGGTGTCATCAATATAGTGGAGCGGGCGGAGTCGTGGAGGGGGCGGGGTCAGAGGTGTGGGTGGTCCCTAATCTCGTGGGGGGTGGGGTCACAGAGG